AAGTTCAGTAATTTAAAATTGTTGAATTTACACACAAAGAATTAAAATAATACCGTAGTGGGAAAGCGTAAAGCTTGTTAAAATAGAATGGTAAACTAGATTCGAATTTTTTAACACGGTTGCCTTTTACCAGTGAAAGAATTACGATGTTGCACTAAAGCTTGAAATAGTAAAGGCGTAGATTAAAAAAAAACATTTTTAATCTATGGTAAAGGCTACTTTGAATTAGATTCTGGGGAGTACATTTTTACTGTAAATGAGGTTCAACAGGAGAACTACCACTGACTCTTAAATTCAACATCCCTATAGAAATAAACGCGCGTAAAGCGGATCAAGAAAAGCGACAGAGCGGTGTGATCGACTCAACGGGGCCCATTGGATTTGACCCATTTTCAATAGGCTTGTTACCTGTGGTATATGAGTAATGTGCAAAGTTTGAACTCGAGCTTGAACCGAATTGGTTCAATAGTTTGTCAGTTATTGTACTCACAGACAGACAGACACCAACGACTCCCCTAAAAATTTTGCATCGCTTTGCTATGTCGGTTAATAAAGGGGGCGTTGTGGACGTAGTAGTATTGACGAATGAATGTAATGAAGGTTTTGAGTTCAGTGAAAACCTGACATATTTAAATTTCGCAACGTTTAATTCCACAATTTGGACGTTCTCTACCCTCTTGGATAATTGTATCATATCATGTCACGACTACTCTTCCAAGGGGTTTGGTTTAGAATTATACAGAGTGCTAAACACAACGATGATGGTGTGCGCGCATTACGAACAATAAATTTCAACCTTTTTGGGTTAATGAAGTTTTTTTCGCGTAGCATATGAACGCGATTACTACACGCCCACTAATAAATAACAACAGGTATGAGACCGGAGTAGAATATAGAAGAAAAGTAAAATAAATGAAAGCGTCGTTTACAAACAATCAATTATTATTTACGGTCCGAAGATTACGTATTATGCTCAACCCACATTACAATAATATTAAGGTTCTTAACACCTATACAGCTTCATTTACTTTATGGCTATAGTGATTGACCGCATTTATGGCATAGGTACGAACAACGGCAAATTATATCGACTCCGCATTGGGTGAGATAAAAATGGTTTTCAGTGGATTTTATGCAAAGCACCATCTCACAATTAAAGTAGAGTAGTGTCCTAATTTTGGATTAACGGTATTGATTCGTTTATTAAAGCCAGATTTCGGCTAATGCCAAGCAACATTATTTTATTTCTCTTTCATTATGCACGGAAAAGTTTAGAAATCTTAAAGTAACAGTGTTTTCACTGTTAAATATATTTATTTCTTGCGTCCATTATGTTTTGTATTAGCATTATTCTTTACACTAAGGTATTAGTCAGGTGAGTTCATTACACTGCACTTGTACATTTTTCAAGGCTTCTACATGTTTTGCAATAATTTGCCAAAACTGGTGTTACGAGTCTTAACTACAGAAGCGTTTTTTAAATAGAGTTGATTGCATAATTTACCTTCATCAGAAGATCGTAATTATCCTAGTCGAAGTAACGTGCCTACTTTACATCCTCCATAAAATGGACAAATAACGATCTAAACTCAAATAGAAATTGCGATTTATATTAGCGTAACCACTTCTAAACCATTCTTTTATGTAATTCCTATACGCTATCTATTCCTTTTATCAGATGGTCCTAATTATTGAACCATAGAAGTGTCAACTACACGTATTAATTTCACATTTTCATTCATTTTCATCAAGACTCGAAGTCGAAACTTTTCTGAATAGTGCCCCCTTTCGGCAGAATTGCGGAATTTATCGGAATCCTACGTACATTTGTGGAAAAATTCAAATAACACTTAAACAGATAACTTAATTTCTTTTAGAAAGGTTCATACGGAAGACATTAGCACAAGAACTTTATGACAGTATAGACTCTAACAGTATGCACCGACATTATCCAGTTTCAACCACGACTACCTGTTCGCGTTTCAAAATTATCAAATTCAAGACAATTTGGAAATTTTGGAACGAGATTTATTCTGATTATTCTATTCCACTTGGCAATTGTTTTTAACGAAAAGGAGCTAATTTCAAGCAGTCAATGTTATATTGAGAAATTCTACACTTTTATTTACGATTTATTTACAACTGAACTATGCAAATTTGTTTGGCTTTGGAAATTTTTATTTACAATCAATTACATACATTTTGGTATATTCAACTATCAACAAATTTACCGTCGGAAAATATTCTTACATTTCAAAAACCGCAATCAATTACGAACATCTATTTGGTAGATAGCCGGATAATTTTGGTACATATGGCATAAGATTTTTAGATGCGAATACTAAATTTAAAGAATGCAAAAGTTTCTTACTAAAAGTAAACAAATGTAAGTACACACGTGCGGGACCTGCTAAAGCGTAGGTATCTATTTTTTTCACGATAAGAAATTATTATCTACAGGAATCTGTTAACGAACCTATTTTCCTACCGTAACTGTTGCATAAGTAACGAATTTAGTATCACTTGCTCAATATACACATGGTGAACTAAAATAAAATTGACTTTCTAGCACCTAGGCAGACTTTGGACATGTTGCCTCCGAAATTGGTCCATAAATAACGATTCTTTGAACGCAATTCAGGTAAGTTAAAAACGAGCAATCCTCAAGTCTTTTCTTAGCGCAGGTCTACCAAATGCTAAAATGAAGTAAATTCGTATTTTCAGAATTGTGGGAGTAGTTACGGTACGGACAGATAAAGAAAGTGGCTGCAATTTATAAAAATTAAAATATACAAAGTGTATAAATCTAAAAAATTAGTTATGCCTTTTCCGTTCGCAATAGGAACTGTGGATTGACGGTCTAAAGAGCAATTAAATTAGCCTTCAACGATGCTACTCATCCTGCAATTTTCAATTTAACACTTATTTGATGTGTTTTTCACAAAAGAACGGTGCGTAACAACTAAACAACGTTAAAATTTGATTTTTTCCATTCCTCCTAATAACTAACATTTTTTCGACTTCAAGCGATTTCGAAGGCAACAATTGTATGCATCGCCAAATTTTTGGGACCAACGCAAATCTTAACTTAATCGAAAAATCGGTCATAATTGATCGTTTACTGCCACCGGTAACGTTCAGGCGTTTAAAATGCACTTTACAGAATAAATATCTTTTTTTTGCTCGTTAGGTTAATGACTTCAAAGAATGTTTGCGGTCAGTTTCCATTCAATGTGAGCGAAGAAAAGTGAATTAGCTCCATTCCAGCGACGTTACATAGTTTGATTAGTACCTAATTGTCTCTGGCGAATTGGATTTTAATACATGTTGTAACTATAATAAGAAAACATGTTTGCTGGTATTCTGACTATTTACACATAACCAATTTATTATGACGAATAACATGGAGAGTGATGAATCAAATTAACACACTTATCAACCACGCATCTTACTGGAAGGTTAGCTTAACAGTACCCATCTATTTGAATACAGGTTTGAAACTCGAAGTTGTTCAACACCTATTGTTTTTAGCGACATTGTGCTCCATATACGTCATGGAACTAATACTAAATGAAAGTTTGCGGTCTAATCTATTTCAGGCAATCAGATTACGAAGCTTTTTGTAGTTTTCGTTTGATTACAGTGATATTCATTTACGAATCGGCGCCGGTAACGATGCAGTGGCGACCAAATTCAACAATACTATTACTAAATTGAAAACACATTGTCGCAAACTCTTCTGTGTAAAAATCCCGTATACAAGGTCCAAAGGAGTTTTGTGTGTCGAGCGCAATGTAAAACAAAACAATAGGCTATTATTTTGCATGTTAAAGCTTGTTTGCTTGTATTATAGTTTATAATTCCAGTTATGGTAGCATATCGTGCTGAATTCGTAATTTGGTTACTGATCTTAACTAAATGTCTGATTATAGTCAATTTTACACATGCTACCATTAGATAGGTAAGAATAATCTACACGTAAATGCTCCTCTTAATGAATATAAATTTTATTCTTTAGGATTAGACTGAAGGGCTTATAGAGGAAAACGCATTACTCACGCAACATCATAATTACGGTAATCAGTGCATCCCTCAGTAGCTATAATCTGAAATCTTTTCGCACCAACCAGTTTCTTGCCTTAATTACGTAGATTAATCGTATTATGGTTTATACATATTCCAATCATAAGTACGATCTAGTCACTATTTTATTCAGAGAAGTAGTTATTTATAATTTACCTTCACCGACCTTGATGGTTCATCTTGGGTCAGTCACTTGTACTTCCTTTAATTTTTTCATTTTGTGTTCTATCCGCAACTACCACTAGTTCTATCACTGCCAATTCATAAATTTGGATTTTGGACAGTAGTAATCGCCTTGGACCAGTGATTTAGCCATTTGGGAGAATGCCGCCTTAATTAGAAATAAATAAAGTAACGCTATCTCAAATCTCATATTAAATGTTTTTCGCGCATTCAATTAATTTTATAGGTGTTAGATTTGAGCACTAACAAAAAATTGTTTCGGATTAATTAAAAAACAGCGATGGCTTTTCTAAATTTCAACTTCTTAACCAAAAACAAGATCTAAAAGTGGAATCAACCGTTAGAAGACTAATTCGTCACATAAATCACTTTTATACTCCGCAATGTAAAGATTAATTACATAATCGATTACGTTCTGCTCGTATAAAAATATCGACTCGTTCAACCAAGGATACGTTAAATTGCTTTGTCACTATTTATAGCTGCAGAGTTTTGACCTCTTGTGTACATTTCGAGTTTCGTACGATTTTGGCTGGGCGATGAAATGAAATTTTAGAACAAGGACGGCTACCTTGTTATCCGGCTCATCACCATCTAACAGTTATCTTTCAATTGAAAAATTGATCTCGTCTAATTATAGCCAGCACGAGCGTGTTATATAAATTTAAGTGGGTAAACCACAGCGTGGTCTTAAAATTTCTCACAGTGATAAAAAAATCCTTTAGCAAGCTTACCTGGAATTAAAAAAAAGAATTTCCTAAAGGATCGTTGCAATCACCACACAACACTAAAGTCACTTCTAACTGCTAAGAAACAAGTTCACTATTGCGGCCGACGTTCTGCACGTCCTCAATGTCTTCGACAGGCCTTCCGCGGTTCTAATAGGAACAGAATTGAGTGCAACGTACAGGTGCCTTGTCTTATACTTGTAGCTGTGGCGGTCTTACAAGAATGGCCATTGGCTGAGAAGAAGATTCCTAAGATTTCATTGGTTGCTATTTCATTTTTTACGGGATTTGCGAGTCTGCAGAACAGTTAACTTCACTAGATGCAGTTGCTCAAAGACATTTTTCTTAGGTAATGGTTATTATAAGCAACACAATCGTATTGCTATAGGCAATTTATGCATATGATCCTATCAACCCTAAGGACATCACACGAGGCCAGTATGGAGAAAATTTAACGGCACCTAATTATACTGAATGCAATTGGCAAACGGCACAGAGGGAAAGATTCCTGCATGTTATTTTTACATCGTGCGTTGGTGATACTTAAGTCACATAACTGTATTAACACCGCATTAACTTTTTAAGTACATAATATACAGGTGGTTAAATATATTACCTTGTAAAGGATCGATTATTACTAATTTATGCAAAATTCCTCAATTAATTCTGTATTCGTATACTGTTTCAAAGGGAACAACTTTAAGTAAAATAAGGCAGCAAGGGGAATACAAAAGCGTAAAAATTGGTCACATTTCATTGATCTTACAGATTTGAAAACTCATTCGCCAGATACGAAACAATTATTTTAAAGCAAGTAATCGCATTACTGTTACCGTTCGGAAATAAAATAATACATCTATTTGGTATGAACACGACAGAATGTAGTGAATGGCGTATATACCGTAACTGCTCGTATTGTACGTTTCGTTTTCGTTTTTGTGCATTGAAGATGGGCGTCGTCGTTGATCGACACCTTCTATCTTTTTCATTGATTAATTGGTTACGTCTGTCAAATTCGGTAAATGTAATACTTGATCTTGATCGCAAATCAAACGTTAAATGGATTGCTGCGTGCCGTTCCACATTCCGTTATCAGACAGAAAACTTTTTCTCACAGTCTTATATAATTCGCGGTTCGCTTCGTTCCACCTTGGTTTGCGATGTTTTGTATACCTAACGTGTTTATCGATTTACAAAATAATCAATTTAATTTTTTGATTAGTATCAAAAATAGCGCAATACTCATCCTTGATGTTCGTTATAATTTCTCTCGCAGGGATGTTTGAAAACGCCTCGGTAACAGTTTCCATCAGCAACGAACGCAAATCCGTTTAGGATACAAAATAGTCATCCTGAAAACTAACAAGTGGGGAAAAGACAATTTTCCGAGCGTATCTGTCACTACGCGTTGTTCGGATAAGCAATCAAGAGGGGGGAAATGTCTCTTTTCTCATAACGAATTTTTTTTCTACAAGCGTTAGGAAACACTAGAAATGAAAGGTTCTTTTTAAAACATGAAACACCCTCTGAAATAAAAGTTTGGAAATTTAATAATTTTCGAAAGATTTTCAAATACAAAACTATTCCAATGCGCCAAATTTATTTTGAATTTTTTGCAATTTAAAATCCACGAGCGAGGCAAAAAATTTAAAAATTTTTCCAATTATGGTTTCTTCAAATTCTTCAGAGTCGTTTTCACAATCGAGGGTAATTTAATCAACTATCTCACAATATTACAAATAGGACACTGTCCTTTGGCCCCCATTCATTCGATATATGTGATAAAACTCTAGGAATAACAAAAGTTTCTCGCGTAATGAATTTTACTCTGCGCGGATAATTAATGCGCGATATCGTAGGGCCTGTTACAATTGTATTCATACCAGGTTAGTTATGTTGTATTAGTTATTATATACTTACAATTGGAAGCCCATAACATTCTAGTTCAAGCGCTCAATGAAATTTCGTGACTCTATATTAAACGCATCGCGGAGTAAAACAAGTATAAATTGTGCACAACTCTTGGGCAGGTTGAGCAGGTGTAGGTAATGTAATGTATCACGTGACGTCGCCAATATCAATTTCGCTGAAATGGCGGGTCCAGGTAAACTTGCGATGTCATCCACGTTCTGCGGAAGAATTATCCAGGTAGAGAATAGCGGAAAAATGATTCAGAGGAGAAAATGATACGAAGTTCAGAGAGAAGTTTGAGGGAAGATAAAACCCTAAAAAATACGTCTTAAGAAAAATGCTGAAGTACATAACTCGCACTAATTACTTGCAAACACAAATCTGCAAAGCGTATTCAATGGAGCAGAGCCCCACAGCACATCAGAAATAGAGAGAACACACTCCAAGGAAATGTGCTGATAGCCAAAACAGTTCGATACTAAGTCAAGTAAAAAGTAATGGTGTATCGAGGAAAATTTGCACGCAACCAATCTGACGGCCAGATAGTCTCTGAAGGGAATGCTAAAGCAAAAAAGAAGAAGAAGATCACGACCTCTAGTGGCGAACCAAGAAACTAAGGTAATAACAAATCTACTATATAACTGACATTTAAACTAAACAGGTTTACAAGGGAAATACCTAGATGGGGCGAGAATACTAAATTTAAAGAGGTACAACTTGATTAATTTAGATGTGGCTTATTCCGAAATGCTTCAGTACATCGCCGATTTCGTAAAGAGCAGTCGATTTCCGCAGTTGTAGTAGCGTTTGTGTTGTTGGGCGACGCTTCGGCGATTGAGATGGGGAATATGTATCGCAATTTTCCATTATAGTTGCGAACACTATTTATCTGTGACATAACTTAGAACCGCTAAATTTTGAGCACAAAACTAACCTAAAAAACTCAAATTTTATGTAACTTCATAACGAAATTTCGAAAAATGTAGGGGTAAATTTACAGCTACCATTACCGTCATACACTGCTATTTTTTCGAAGACTAGTCCGACTAAGAATCTACATTCATTTAAAAATTGGTTTACAAAAAATATAAGAACAGTGGTTTTGAAACTAATCTTTTACCGTATTAAAATATGATTCAATTTGGTGGAGTGGCTTTCTTTTACTTGTATGAAGACAACCGCACAAAGCTTTTTAACATTTTAGCTACCATCCACACTAATTACATTTTAGTCCAGCGTTTCTCTAGCTGTCTTATTCCACCAAATAATACTACAGTGACTGCGGGCGGATTCGGTGATTTTATGCAGGCAAAATTTATGGTAATGACTAGAAAATGGCGAGGCTTGTGGACCTTGCAATTGTCGTGGAACAGCGCAGTTTTTGTTCACCACGAGTTCGGTCGTTCTGCTTTAAGGGCGTTTTTCAAGCGTTCAATCACCCCTTTGCCATGTATTCAATAAGCAAAACGTCCTCACAGACAGTCACAGTAATCACAGTCCCTAAACATAGCAGACATCATTTTTCCAGACGAACTCTAGATTTTTGCCTTTTTAGCATTGGAAATGCTTATTATATGTTTTGTATGGGTATGAATTTACCAGGTTTGCCGAGTAGAAAATAAGACAGTGGTGTCGCGTCTAGTGTTGATTGTACCGTACTCGACTGCAGTCGGTAGAGCGAGCGAGTGGAGCAAGATTATTCCGTGTGAAGGGTTATTTATGACTTTATAGGTTATACGGTTATCATTTCCAATGTCTACGATGGTTGCAAGGATTGCGAAATCTGTGAATTTTTTGGGAGTGGAGAGCCCTTATGAGCCCATTGCATTCATTTGGGAGATCCCTAGTGAAACACCCACAGCGGACACTTCTTGTGACATTTGTAGTGGACAGTAATCAATGTAAAGCAAAACGCACACGTGTGTTTTGTTTTGCTATGGTCTGAACCTTATTAGAAAGCAAAAAGCACGTGTGTCATTTGCTTTCATCTGCATTTGTTGACAATTTTACCAAACATGTCATTTTCACGACGCCTATTTACATGAAATGTGTAATTTTCGAAGGGAGTCATTGAAAGCATCAATTCCCGAGACATATTATAGTGATTGAGATGTTAGCAGTGAAATTTGTAATTACCGGGTAGTATAATGAATATTGAATAATAAGCTATTTCGTCCTAATGTGTTCGGAAATCAGAATCGTAAACGTTACTGAACGTGAACTTCGAAAAATATGTTATTAAATGACGACAAAAAGCAAATTAAATAATACAAAAATACGCAAAAGAATTCCACTAAATAAAATTTATACGTGTAGGATTCGTGTTTATTGACTTGCAAAAATATTCAATTATTTCCGGCTAAGTTGCGGTTAACGAAATAAATAAATACAGCAATTTAGGTTTTTTTGTAGTTAAAAAATAAAAGTAAGGAAATTTTAAGTGAACTGAATCCTATGTAGAAATTTTAAGGTGTAGTGTACCTATTCATTTAAAATTATTAAATAAACGCTCAATTTATATTTACTGCAATAAAATAAGTAGATTTCCTTAAATTATTTATTACTACTCATTTGCCAGCTGTTACCACTTCTACAGATAAGATTTCGTTTTGTTGTAATGGTGCAGTTTGCATACCAGATTATAAATATAAAATAACTCTGTAGCAGTTCTGCGGCGTTAGCAAGGTCGTTTAACTTCCTTGAACTTGAGAACAAACTAGATCGTATCTAGAGAAGCAAAGTGATTTTACTTGCATGGAATAATCGGTACCCTTTTATTCCATTGAATGCATCCATTCTATTTTCAATGTCGAAGGTAATTTCCTGGCTTTCCCTTCATATCTGAAACAAATAAAAGAAACTAAATGTACCTACAGTAATTTGTGATTAGAGTTGCTACAAAAAATTTAAATTCTAATTATCTATATACATCGCAACCCCTTTTGCGTCACGTTGTCGGTCAAAAGTGCACATACACATATAATTCATTTTCATACATTTGATAATGTAATAGTAATGCCATTGTTTAAAGTATTTAAAAAATGGTAATACACACATTAGGCGAACTGTAAAATAATAATTGCTAGGGATGACTACACTAATTTTAAAATGTAGAGCATGCAAACCACTTTAACAAAGTACCTAGTGTACTTATTGTATTCTTCTTATGGTATTCGCCTACAATATTGCAGCAGTTTTTTTTCTCTTCCATCTGTTATCTAAGCGTGTAATTAATTGTTTGACTAATT